TGTCCTGCCCTTCCGAAGTTTCTCCCTTTCCTGTTGTTGACCACGTGTCCTGTTGGTTACTATTATTCCGCTGCGCTGTTCCCCAGCCCATGATGATGATGATGCAAATGTGTTGTTGTTGTTTTTCTCGTTGGTTTACTTGTTGCATTGTGCACATTGACATCTGGTGAATGTTGCATCTATGCTGCTTGTTGTTGCCACTTTCATCATTGCTAGATCCTAGGCTGTTAGTGCATTTCACTTTCTGATATGCTACATATATCTCTGAGTTCTGAGTGGGCGCCTGGTGCCAGTTTGCTGCGCAACCTGTTTGCATACGTGTGAAGTGTGAATGAATGCGAGTCTGATTGCAAATGGAGCCATATTAATAAATAGGTGAATATCATAAAATGACCAGATAATTTGAGATAAATAAATAATTCACCAAAGAAATAAACAGAAACATACCAGCAGCAGCCACGAGCGCATCGAGCTCTTCCGCGGTCAACGCAGATGCAACAATAGCTTTTAGTTCCTCCGGCACACCTCCATTCACTTTATTAGCACCCCCCCTGCCTCTCTCATGCTCCCCCCCTGTTCCAGCAGACCCCTTCTTCAAGCCCGATTTGCCCGACTCCTTCCTCGGTGACCCCTCTCCTCCTGGTAACCCCTCCTTCCACCCCTTCTTCAACGCATCGCTGACCCTCGTTTGGAAGTACTGTACTGCGCCCGAGAAGGCCCCCTCCAGCATTATATCTATCATGACCTCCTTGACTTTGCGCTCCGCGTTCAGAGGGAAATCCTCTCCTACATAATGAACCAAAAGGGGCAAAACCTTCGCTAGGCTTTGGCCGGTCAAGCTTCCCTCGCCCTTCGCTGTCAAATTGCCGAACACTGCGTTCTGCAGTTGTGCAAGATCCGCCTTGTAACCTGGATGCAGATACGGAAACAGCTCAAACTCCGCGCCGAGGCCACTGCTACCCCACTTCTCCCTCAAGAGATTGACATCAGCCGGCGTTCGCAGCGGATAACAGGAGATGCCCTTGTTGAAGAGGGTATCGATCGATAGATCCCCGGAACGCGCCAGCGCCTGGATGTAGCGCCGAAGGTAATCCATCGGGGACTGAGACGATTCCACATCCATGTCGAATCCCTGGACTACCCAAGTCAGCTGAGGGAAGTCCAGAGTCTTCAACAGCACGCCAACGTCTACCTCAGGTTCCTGCTGGGCATCCCCAGAGTGCAGTGATGAACCGTCAGCAGTAGCCGCTGCAGTATCTGCAATATACAAAACGGAGCACCAAAATAGCCAGAAAAAGGCAAGTCAAAAAAAAAAGAAAGAAAAAAAAGGGCTAAAACTCAAAAGTTTAAAACTTAAAAAAAAAAAAATTCACAAGCAGGCGGGTGCCAAGACTCTCATCACCACAACCACACCAGAACTCGTTGATTACACCCTTTTTTTTTTCTTTTTTTTTTAAAGCTCCATTCTATTTCTGGGGATGATTACACCCAAGTTTGAACTTTCACGTTTTCATTAACTCACCAGTCTCCGCAGGCATCGAAAATCGGACTACCAGTAGCAGCCAGAGCCAAAACGTTTTTGGCATACCAGTGGAGCAGCAGGTAGCCGAAAAATGCATTTTTTGGGGGTGTCATCAAACTCGCTTTCTTCTTCACTTCACATACATGCAAACAGATGTCAATCCACGCTGGCGGCTGTGCGCCCACACAAAGCTCAGAGATATTCAAGTCCAGGACACAGTTTGGATACAAACTTGCTTCCAACTGGCTATGGAGCCTGAGCGCTCACACATCCTCTGTCCGACACTGTATTCAGACAACCGTTTGCACGCACTCGACTCTGGATCTCCCTGGATATCCCACGCACACAAACTCAGTACAACACACACACACACACACTGAACTCTACCTCTAAGCTACAGCGGCTATGGCCGCTCTACTACTACTGGCTATGGACGATCTATCTCCCTTCAGCCCACTTCAACCTCGGGCTTCTGCAGACCACCTCGCACAAGACGCCTGGCTGGACGCTGCCTCTTGAATTATACTTCTGTAAGTCGCTGGTCTGCCCTTTTCCACCGGGCCCATGGTGCACACAGTCCCTCATGGCACTTGCTGACTGTACAAAGTGAGACTGGGGCTGGGTACCGCTGACTAAGCGAAGTTGGACTCACCACTTGCCCACTTGCCTCTGGTCTGCTGTGAGTAACGTGAGAAAAACTCGGAAGGCCACTTCCGGACCTTCCGGAAGTCTGTGGACTTGGCCTTTCGGGACTGTAGAAGCTACGACCTTGACCTTTCAGGACTGTAGCAGCTATGACCTTGACCTTTCAGAATTGCTACAGCTACCGCCTCTACACAACTATGACCCTTAGTCGACAGATCTACAGATCGAACCCCTACAGCTACACAGACCTACGACAGGCAACAGTCAACTATCAAAACACAGGTCACGGGTTCAAACACAGGGGTTGACTTGATACTGTACACGGGTGTGGTAAGGTCTAGGGATCAAGCCCTGGGATCTGCATCTGCTACTGCTAAGGTGTAAACCGTTTCACTCCCGCCGACCTAAATCCGAGGTCCTCTGAGAATACTTCAGTCCAAGGTAGGACCTTTACCTTTCTTATCTCTCTCGTAGGCTCGGACTATATCGGGAGCAGTCTCTAGAAGCTCTGTTCGGGTAAACCAGCGGTCGTCTTCCGGCTCTTGATAGTCAAATCGAACCTTGTACTGTTTCTGTGGACAACCTCTACCTCCTGTTCTGAACACATCTTCACCTACAATGCTGTCAATGTCGTACCTTCCATCCATGTCCGGAGGGATCATGGGCCTCCGTGATGGAAACTGTTGACTTGTGGTACAAGGCAACAACTTTGACACATGAAAGACTGGGTAGGTGTGGAGATGTGCTGGAATCTCTATGGTGTAGGACGGTCCATCCTCTCCGCCCTTGACTTCCAAGACAGGCCACGGAATGGGCGACGATGCTTATTGGCTTGCTCTATCATTCTATGCTGGGTAGGTGTGGAGGTGTGCTGGAATCTCTATGGCTATGGTGCCGGAATCTCTATGGTGTAGGACGGTCCTCTATATGCAGGTGACAATTTCTGCAAGATGTTTTCTTCAGGAGCAAACTCTTTTGACTTAGCCCATACTAAGTCACCTAGTTGGAACTGCGATGGGCGACGCTGCTTATTGGCTTGCTCTATCATTCTATGCTGGGCCTTCCTGAGGTTCTCTACTACTGTAGCAATCTCTTTTTCATGTTGTATCGTGAACTCCCTAGTTTCGGGCGGTAGCCTCTGAATCTGATCCCAGTTGAGTCCCTCAAATGGTCTGCGCGGTCTAAAGGATTATGCAATTCGTTGGGAGTGCGACAAGTGGCTAAGTGCACGTTGTTATTATAGGCACTGGCTACCTTTGGGAGCATCTCATCCCAGTTAACTTGGTCGGGTCTAATGTACATTCTCAGAACCTGCTGCAGGACTTTGTTCATCTGCTCAGTCTGACCGTTGGTCTCTAGGTGACGGCCATATGACATCAACAACTTAGAGCCATACACTCTCATTAGTTCCTGCCAGTTCTGACTAGTGAACCGGGTATCTCTGTTGCTAACTATAGACAACGGTAGCACATGGTCACTGACCCGATGATCGAAGAATTCTTGTATCACTAATTTGTACGTGCCTCAGAAGGCTAAGGAGCAAATACTGCATACTTAGTAAATCTATCAACTATCACCATGACTTGGCTCCTGCCATGCCTACTCCTGACCCCAACATCCATGAAGTCAATGGATACAGAGTCTCCGGGTCCATCGGGAATAGGCAATCGTCTGAGAAGACCAAGAGGGGCTCGCGTAGTGGTCTTATTTCACTGGCACACCTTACAACTGCGTACATACTCTATGCAGTCAGCCTTCATGCCAGGCCAAGTATACGCGCGCATGAGGTTGGTTAATGTCTTTTGCCAACCAAAATATCCCTCTGTATCATGGCATTCCCCCAGGATCAAACTTCGGATCTCTTCACTGTGGAACGCACTATCGATCCGCTACATTAGTCTTCTCGAACAACAACCCATCTGTAGTGTGGTAGTCCGACTCGGAGTTTGGAGACTCCTTAACTCTCTTGAAGAGATCACTATAAATAGGGTCCTATGCATAGGCTTCTTTAACTTTCTGCTGCAGGTCTCACCCTATATCCAGATAGTGAACTATCATTCCAAAGTAATCAGCTCTCCGACTTAGAGCGTCTGCAACTACATTATACTTCCCTTTGACTGGCCTGAGCTAGAAGTCAAATTGGTCTATTTCAGCAGCCCACCTAGTCAGCTTAGGTGTCATCTTGGCCTGCATCTTCAGCCACCTCAACGTCTCGTGGTCTGAATACACTTTGAAGTGCCTCCCAAGCAAGTAGTGCTTCCAGTGGTCTAGTGCTTGCCTGAGAGCGTAGAGCTCCCTCTAATAGGTAGACGTCGCTACCTTCTCTGAAGGCATCCTGGCACACATGAACTCTATGACTCTATACCCATTGCCATCATCTTGCTGTAGAACAACACCTATATTGTACTGACGCAAGTCAGTGGTGACAACAAAAGATAATGATGGGTCGGCTACCTTGAGGACTGGATACTCTATCAAGGCCCGCTTCAACTTCTTAAGAGCCGGCGTGCAATCTCTATCCCATTTCTAGATTGCTTCTTTCTTTAGCAACCTGCGAAGGGGAGCAGCGATGGTAGAACAATTTCTAACGAACTTTCTGTAGTAATTGGCCAATCCTAAGAACGACCGCAACTTTGTCAATGTGCGGGGAGTTGGCCAGTCTCTAATCCCTGCTATTTTACTGTCCTCAGCTTTTATGCCATCACCATATAAAACGTGGCCCAAGTACAGGGGTTGCGTCTTGGCCCATTCACACTTCTCCTCATTGATCTTGAAGTTGGAGAAGCTTCTCCAAGACCTGCCTCAGATGGCCCTCATGCTCCTAGAGGGCCTTACTAAAGACTGGGATATCACCTAGGTACCACGAATCGATCTAACAACGGCCTAAACAGATCATTCATACAGCGTTGGAATGTAGTTCGCACATTGGTTAGTCCAAAGGGCATCACTATAAACGCATAATGCCCATATCTGGTCTTGAATGTCGTCCTGTGTTGATCATCAGGATGGACCTCTATCTGATGATAGCCTGGCTTCAAGTCTATCTTAGAGAAATATTTGCAGCCCTGCACCGATCTAACAAATCATCTATATGGGGCAGTGGTTCTGCATTCTTCACTCTGATGGTGTTAAGACCCCTATAGTCAATACACATTCTTAACTCTCCCTCCTCCGTGGGGACAAATAGAACAGGCTCTCCAAAAGGAGACGAATTGGGCCTAATCCAACCCTTTTCGAGCAGCTCGTCTAACTGCTTGCGTAGCTCCTCTAACTCCCTTGGGGACATTCTGTAGATAGCTCCCTTGGGAGTTCTACTGTCAGGCTCTGTCTCAATACAATGTTGGATGGGCTGTTGCACTACTCCTGTAGGCGGCTTAGCTAAGTCTGTATACTCTTCCAGCAGCTTGGCAATAACTAGTTCAATGGGTTTCTCTTCCTTAGGCTCAGTGTCAGGCCTAACATAGGCTACGAAAACCTGTTCTTCTAGTTGCTCCTTTCTCACTAGTCGCGCGAACGCAAGAGTACTGAGGCAGCAATGTGCTAAGGGGTTGTCTACCCCTGACACATGAAACAGGCGGGCAGTCTTAACTTCGCCTGATGGGCTACCGTCTTCCCCCGAATACAACGTACGGTCTTTATAGCTGCATTTAGTCTGAAAGATACCCCAAATTCAACTATAATGACCGTACGTTGTATTCGGGGGAAGACGGTAGGAAGTCTACACTTGTGCTCTCTCAAGTGAAGTGTGGCCCCTGCTGCCTCTCCCCAGTCCATTCCTAGGACCATGCCAAATGGGAGGCTATCTTCTACGAGGAGAGTCTGGGAATGGAGAACTCTCTCTACCTTCCCACCCTTCTCTAGGCGAAAGTACACCTGGACTCCCTCTACATATTCCTCGACTCGCATAGGGCGATTGTCTGCGAGGACGCTGCCTATAGTGTCTTCTAACTTTTGGAACTTTAGATTCAACTTTAACTTCTGCAGCGCTTTCCCACTAATATAGTTGCGATTTGCCCCACTGTCTATAAGGGCCCCTACTCTGCCTCTAAAAACTTCTACATCTACTAAGACTAGTGCATTACTATCCTTC